ACATATCTATTCAAGTGACACCATCATAGGACCTAATCACATCAACCACGCCATCAGGGGCTCGTTCACCTGCACTTCTACCAATGTGATATGTGCCAGCAATGCCCCTCTACCATGTACATTGGTCAAACCGGACAGTCTCTATGCAAAAGAATAAATGGACACAAATCTGACATCAGGAATCATAACATTCAAAAACCAATAGGAGAACACTTCAACCGCTCTGGCCACTCAGTAACAGATTTAAAGGTGGCAATTTTGCAACAGAAAAACTTCAAAAACAGACTCCAACAAGAAACTGCTGAACTTGAATTAATATGCAAACTGGATGCTATCAATTTAGGCTTAAATAGAGACTGGGAATGGCTTAGCGATTACACACATTGAATCTATTTCCCCATGTTAAGTATCCTCACACCCTCTTGTCAAACTGTCTTAAATGTGTTATCTTGATTATCACTACAAAAGCTCATCTTAATTAGCCTCTTCGAGTTGGTAGGGCAACTCCCACCTTTAAGTTCTCTGTATGTATATATATCTCCTCACTATATGTTCCATTTTATGCATCCGATGAAGTGGGCTGTAGCCCACGAAAGCTTATGCTCAAATACATTTGTTAGTCTCTAAGGTACCACAAGTACTCCTGTTCTTTATACTAACAGTGCTTTTCTTCCTAAAGGATCATAACGTTATCTAGAACTAACTTTTGTGGGGAGCAGCTCATCCCCATCTGAACATTACTCAAGTTTAAGGACTTAACTGGGTAAAGGTGGGAGAGGGGTACAACCTGAGTATTTAGCAATCTACTTAATTGAAGGCACAAACATAGTCCCATTTAAAATCAATAGTACTCTCATACTTCAGAACTTTGTTGGAGCGTAGCCTGAGGGCTCACCCCTTGCAGGACTGAATTCAAAATCAAAGTAAAAAATGCTGAGCTAGATTTGGGATCTGGAGTAACTTGAATAAAGAGAGTGGAGTCACCGCAGATTTACACCAATATAACAGATTAGAATCTGACGTACTGTATTTAACTGAAGCTGCAAGAATTTAGGGAACCAGAATGCTTAATTGAGAATTTGGACAAGATCTACCTAAGGCTTAACATTCATCTAATTAAGGAAACAGTCAGTCTTCAATGAGTGCAAGAGCTACTTGTGGTGAGTGAGATGCAGAAAGAGGGCTTTAGTGGGGTCCTTTAGTACCACAAGCTGTTACCCTGAACTGCTTCTGAAAAGCTCTTCAGGAAGGACTGATCCTGTACTCATGAATAGTCCCACTGCAATCAGTAAGGGTTTGCAGCTGTGGACCTACCTCCTTTCAGTAGTAATTAATGGTTAGCTTGTTTTTGTGAAAAAATATTTATTACCTCAGGCCTTTTCCAGCTCTATGGGCCTTGTACAATGCAGTTTCATTTTGATCTTTAAAAAAAAAACAAAAAAACTTGTTCCCTTAAGCTCTCTATTTGGCTGGGCCTGTTGAATAGTTTCAGCTGTTGGGAATCAAAGTGATTGCTTTGTTGAGGCCCTGCAGCAACATCATTCCCAGCAGACTGGAGAGAGAGCCTTAAAGAGATTACTCAATTCTGTATGAGGGATAGTCTTCCTAGACATGTCACCCCTAGCCTCAGCCTGATTTTGTATACGATTTTTAGTTACTTTAGTGCCCCCTCTCACTCCCCCCCCCAAAAAATAGTATGAAAATCCTTGAGTTTCCTTTTTGGATAACTCAAACATGTAAGCTACATTCTATCAATTTCCAAAACAAATTCACTCTTAAGCCAAGGCAGAAAAAAGGTCATGAGTTTTAAGTTCAGCATTCAGGCCTTAAAAGAAAGTACTTAACCTATTGTAGGATTAGGACCAGAGTGAATTTTAACTGGCTGTATCCAAATTAGCACACAAAAAAGCAGCTAGCTGCATTTCTGTCATTGGTAAAGTGTTATGAATATTTATAGTAGCATGATGAACTATGAAAAACAAGTGCAGATTTTCAGAGCTGTAGGCTTATAAGAATCCTACCTTATAATGTTTACTTCATTATCCAATTCATTAATTTAACCTCCTGTTTTTGAAAGCCCAATTAATATGAATTTATGGTTGAGATTAAAATGCATGAAAGTCATGGGGGTCATACATACAAATATGTAAAGTGATGTAAATAGGGCCTTATGTAGTTCACAGCCATGGAATATGCCCCAGAAAATTGTGCTCTAGAATCTGAGTTTTCATTTTAACAAGTATTTATAGCCTCATGGGTGCAAAGAAAGCCTTGAAAATATAAGTGAAGTGTAAACTGAGGTAAATAAGTCTCCACACAGCCTGAAACAATAGCTCTGAGGCATGAACTATTCATCTCCATGATTAATAGTAATCTCAAAAGATATTAAGCCTACAACCAAAGTTATAATTTAGGCCCCAATTCAGAAAAGCATCCCTAATTCAGGACAATTAAACATGCTTTAATGCTATCTTGAATAGGAATGCTTTCCTGAATTGGGGGCTCAAAACCCAACATTAAGTATTTCTCTACTGCTCATTTCAACAGAAACGTTTAACTAGATATGCTTACCTCACATGCTTCCTCACTTAAGACCCAGTTCCAACACTACCTCCTCCCCCCTGACTACTTCCAAAGTGCAGTTAGATATTGTCAATATAGAAGTCTACTACAACCTGAAAACAAAGTATAGACCGCACAAAAGAAATTGAGTATCAAAATAATTTACAAAGCATTACTCTGTATTGATTTGTAGACTTTACTTTTTAATTCAACAAAACCCTCAATTTTTAAGTTCACCTAAATTTCCTGAGGACTGCAGAATCCGGGTCCAGTTTGCCACGCAACACAGTGGGCCTTGGATTAGAGCTAAAACAATCAAGATCAGTACATGAGTCAGTTAAATTGATTTAACTGATTCTGAGTGGCTGGAAGAGAAGGGTGCATGAAGAAAAGCAACTAATGGGAGGGTATAAGGTATAGAAGTGCCTACTTTGATTTACACTTCTGGTCCTTCAGTATGCATGCTATTCCAACATAAACCATTGCAACAATTTTTGTGGAGGTTCTTTGAACTCTAATAGACTCACTTATCTTGCACACTACCTCTGAATTTGGCATATGAAACTCAAAGTTCTGTTCCCTACAGTGATTGTTAACTTGGCCATACTGCACAAGTATTAAGGTGTAAATTCAGCAGTATACATAGAATATTAATTTAAAGGCATGAACCCATTGAAGCTATAGAGAGATGCCCATTGGCAGTAATTGGCATAATGCAACAGTTTTGCTTGTTGCAAATAGAAGTTTGAGATTTTAAATGGACATAAGAAAATCCAACCATATCATATGGCAGCTTTCTTGCACTGGATTTTGTAGAGTAGCTTGTGCATAAGATTAGAACAGACATGGAAAGCGTTACTGAACCACGTATTCAAGTATCCTTGTTTTCATTATGACTGGAATGTTTGGAAAACGACAGGTAGAGTTCCTAATGGAGGCTACCTCAATACTCAGCATCAAATTTGTAGTTTTCCAGTTGGGTAAGAAAAAGAAAGCCTTGAGATAAATCCCAGTTTTCTTGAAATACTGTTTAATAGTTTTCCCCTAACATAATGCGCACACAACAGTATGTTGTCAATTTAAAAAAATATTTAATGCTGCCAAAAATGTATAAAAATACAATAAAAATGGCAGTACAAAGTATTTTCTAGTTTATTTCTTTTACATCTTTCTACAATTAATACAGGCATTATAAAAAACACAGAAGACAGCAAGTTATTTTGTTTTGCAAAGTAGCATGCTGGTGGTGTTCTTCATCCCCTGGATGTAGTTTACGCTGTAAACAGATAATTATGAGGCCTTCTTGGTATTTATCAGACCTCACTTTTGTTCCCGGAGAGGGGTTCATATCTTGCCTTGCATGTCAATAGTTTGCAATTTATATAGATGCAGAATATTCACAAGTCTTGGAGGTTTAGATGTCAGTCAGTCTCGGCCTACGACATACAACGCAAAACAAAGTCACCAATTCAGTAAAGACTAAAAATCAGTACAGACTAAGGGCTTGGAAGTCACTATAAATTGGAAAGCAAACCCCAAAACTGATAATTTGTTCCAATTTTTCACATTCGTTTCTCAGACTAATTACTCCATTACTATCAGTAGTAAAACTGTTTGAAATGCCAAATCTTTTTCGGAAGAGATACTACAGGTAAGGCAAATGCACATTGGAGAGGGGTTCATATCTTGCCTTGCATGTCCAGCAGGTCACTAAAGCCCGTACCTAACTTTAAGCATGTCAACAGTCCCATTGACTGCAGTGGGACTCCATGAGTATTTTGCTGGACCAGGACCTAATAACTGCTTTTTGAAATCTGAATGCCAGTCCTGTTTTAGAAGTTACAGTTCAAAGCAAAGTGACATTCCAAGTCTAAATTCTCTTGTCCCAATGAGGGAATTCCAAAACAACAATTTTTAATAAAGCAAAGTTTATATGACCAGAAACAAATTAGAAGAACCAACATTCGTAAACCCACACTGATTTCTTCCAGAGCACAGTAATCTTTCCTTAAAGTTAATTGACAGCATTGAAAAAATATTTTTTTTCACATATCAGGCCTTTTAATGCAAATAAAGACTCAGACAGATGAAATATTTTGAACACATTTATTTTTAGTACACAAGAGTGAGACTGAGCTGAAGCCAGTTAAAAAACAGCTTTAAAAGGCAGGAAGACTATCACACAATTTAACTTTGCCAAATTCCACCCTGTAGTTTAAATCACTTGACCACAATGACAATTTTCCCCAGGAGTTACCTCAATCAATTTACATAAGTTTCTTGTGCAGTCATCCAAAAATCTGACATTTAAGTCTAATAAATGAAAAGGTACATTAATGTTGTTGGCCTCTATTATACTTCAAGGCTTTTTCATACCCACCCAATTCACACACTTGCCTTTTTTTATTGTCCATTTGCACTAAGCTGTATATTTTTAAAATACTATATTAAAATAAAAATACATCAGTTAATGAAACGGAACAAGTAATGTTCCAAAAGCTTAATTAAGTTAAGTTTCATTTGCAAATTAAATTTCCCTAAAACGCACCTGTAATTTCTCCAACTCTTTACTTTAGACTGTATTTAATTATTGCTTTGGATAACTCCTGCTCAACAAGTAGTGGGGAAAATATTTAAAAGATCGAGGGGCACTCAACACAGCAAGTGGTGCCATTGCAAACAATAGATTTCCCATGCCAGAAAAATATAATTGAATAGAAAACCAAAAGGACTAATTCCAATCCTTATAAAACTAGAATGTGCTACTTATAACTGAGATTCAGGTGTTTGTTACTTGGTAAAAGGTGAATGAGATTTGTATGAAGCTAATCATCTGAATGTCAGCTTTAAAGTGATCTAATTAAAAAAATAAGTTCTACTATGCTAATTATTCTGGAAAACAATACATATAGGGGAAAGAGGATCACAGTCAAGATTTCAATCAGAAGCTCAACAGCATTTCAGAACTAGTGCGCCAATCAGGATTTAATATCTCAGAAGTGAAGACTGTTGTCTCATGTTCTCTTTTCACTTAACTGCCACAAAAACAACAAAGTATGCATAGCCTAGATTTTGTAACAACCACCTTCCTGTAAAGTGCTATGAACTAAAGACAAAAGAGGAAATCCTAACCCCACTAAAAAGTCAGTGGGCATTTTGCCATTGATTTTAAATGGAACTAGGATTTTACACCAGGTTCCTTCCTGGAATGTGATAAAAAGCTTCTTTCCCAATCTTATACTGCAGCAGATCGGAGTTTAACATTTTTTTGTCTGTCACTGGTGTGATCCTTAAAAATTGTTACAGATGTCTTCACACCTGGTTGTTAATGATGCAGCCAAGCCAACCAAACACAGCTTACCCATAAATTACCAAATTAATTTACAAATGCTACTTTGTGGTGTGAAAAGGAGTGAACACAATGTGAGCATACATGAACGTTCCCAAGAGACCAAGAAAGTCTTCTTGGGGTCTGGGCAATGTAGGAGACAGTTTAGATGGCGTCAGGTAAAAGAATTCAAATGAGGGTGTTCAAAGATGCATTTAGAGCTTGTCATCAGAGGAAAGCAGAAAATGCTTGGAAAAATCCTGCTGCTGAGTCAGGAGATAAATGGAGACTTGCAATTTCAGAGAAAGGGATATTATCTCTCTTGGAGGTTTTTTTTCTTAACTGTTTTCCTTTAAGCACTTTAGGATTTGAAGATCTCATTTCACTTTTATAATAGTACTTCATGGCACAACATACATTTTCCCATAAATAAAACCCAGCCGTTTGTAAGACACTTTACAACAGAAAAGAAATATGGGAAGATTGAGGAGTAAGATATAGGATGGAAAGAGTAATGCACTCTCTCTAGGCTGGGGGTTGATTAGAGTTAGAACAGCTGAAGGTTAAAAAAAGAAAAAAAAAAAACTATTTGGTGGGACAATACCTTCCTAAAACACAAAATCTGCACTCTCTCCCTGATTGTTTACCGTCTTGTTACAACAAGTAACCAAATTTACTATTTCTGCCAAAGCAATTACTAAATCTTGGCTCTGCCATGGTTCCAGTACAAGTTGCCATCTTGTTTTAATGGCAGTCTTACAGAAACACAGCTCTGAATACTGTAAGACTCTACCACCTGAAGTCTCATTCTTTTACTAACACCGGGGAATTACACATTTTACTCCTATTCACACTAGCTGGAGGTACCTATGTAAATCTATTGCACGTCCATGAGACACTCCTCAAAAGTGTATGTTGTTCAGTCATCTAGTAGCACTGCAAAGAAACAGCAACTCAGTTTAGGTCCCATGTTTAATCTCTTGCTACTGAGCTTGCAGGTGGCTGGAGACCTCTCAAAGTGCTTTATTAAGGAGATCACAGTATCATCCCCTTTTTACACATTTGGAAACTGAGGCAGTGAGGTACAGTGATCTGTCCAAGGTCACCCAGCAGTCCAGTGGCAGAGCCATGAATAGAACTCAAGTCTCCTGAACTCTGATCCACTGTTCTATCCACTAGGCCACACAGCCTTCCTCAGCTGAGAATGATTTGGACAGCTACATACAGATTCCATTGTATAGGTTCCTTTAAGGGAAAGGAAGTTAACAATGGAGCTGGGAAAAGAGCTATTAGATACACTTTTTCATATAAACAGTGAAAAGTTTATGATCCATCTCAAACTGATCCAAAGGTAAATAAGTACTTCCTTCATCTACTATTCCTGATGAAGTGGCTAACTACTGTGTTTACTATGGTGATAGGCAACTTAAAAAAGTACCTTAAATAGATCTGGCATCCTTAAGACTTTGTCACAGTTCATAAAATGTTATCAAATAGTTGACAATATTCATCTATATTCTGTAGCTAATGCTTTCAATTACTTTTGAAACAAGTTTTTCACAAAAAGTTCAATCAGTTTTAAGTTGCCTTCAATGTGCCATTATTGATGGGTGATAGATTATTATTATTATTACACGGCATAAAACTCAAAAAAAAAAAAATAAGATGAGACACAAAATATCACATTTCACATTTAATGGAATGTCAGAACTTTAACAAAACTAGAGCTTCAGACAGTAGCTGAAGTCTTAATACAACTTCCATTAATCAGTTTAACAATTTGCCTCTAAGTCTAGGACTAGCAAACAGCTTTATAAAAACAAACAAAACAAAAAAACACCAAGCATTTTAAAGCTTTTTTAAATAAGGAAACTGCAAAAACAAAAAATAAATAAATAAAAGGAATGCAGCGTACAGAGTAGAAACTGAAAAGTGCTTCATTAGAACCCTAGCTGCTCATATCAAAAGTCTCATCTTGAAATGTGGGGAATGGATGCACTGTGCACAAAATATCCTATACATTAAGTTCCAAAATCAAAATTTTTTTTTTGTCAAATAAATTTGTACAAACTAAGCTTTTAAAAGTACAGTTAGCTACAAAAAGTAAGATTAAATATGCAGTTATAAAATATATTTATCCTGGGTCATAAGAATATAAAATGTTGATGCCTATGTCAATAGTACATTACACATTACACACATTTAAGGATAACTTCTTTGCATTAATAATGTAAATGATACCACACTGTTTATTGCTTATGTCAGGCATGTAAATTAAAACCCAGATAGCCACGATAGTTAAATTTTCATGGCTCAGGGTCTATCTATCTATCTAGATTCAGTGGAATACCATTTTTAAAAGTATATAAATACAGTTACACAAAGTTTGTACCTGTTTATTTAACAAACGAACAACTTTATTCTGGGTAGCAATTTGCCGTTTGGTTTCAGAAGTACCTGCTGTGAAAGTCCTGAGATGCTGACTGATCAGTTTACATCACTTATCTAGTTTGTGTCTAAACTACTGCACCGATTTTAGGTGTAAGGAGTTTGCTGCTGAAAGTCAAACTCCCTAATGATTGACTTGCAGCAAGATTAGCTGCTACCATAGACAGGCTCACAGTGCAAATAAGTTTTTACTTACAAGGAATGTTCTTGAAAATACAGTTTCCAGCAAGAATAAGCTCCAACTAAAATGACTGTACCAAACCCAATCTTAGTGAGAATAGGTTTCCAATATAACCACCTTTTTCTTTTTCTTTCAGTCTCACTTAGCTTCTGTTTCATCTGATGCACCTTCTGGGCTGTGTAAGCTTTTCTATCCTCTCGCAGCCGTTTCCGAACAGTACTAAAAGAGAGAAAAAACTAAGTTGTGGAATAGAAGTAATTCCTCAAGAGATTAGGAGAAACCCCCTCAACCCAACACACAGAATAGTTAACCAATTTGTGCCGTTTAGGACTAAAACGATGAAGGAGGGAATGTCGATGAGAATGGTCTTTAATGAAACTGTTCAGGTAATTAGAGTAGCACAGCGTAAATACCCACGCTGTTTTAACATTATTAAGGTTCCAAGTCAAACATCAGGAACTTAGGAAACACCAGAGTTGCAACCTTAATTCTGCCCCCTCTTGCCTACGCATGATAATCTTAATGGCATGATCACATTTTCCCCTGCACAGAACTCTGGCTTCATTCAGTGACTGAGGTTTTTCTGTATTTTGTATGTATATGTATTTTTCTATATTAAATATATAGAATGTACAAAAAAGCACATGTTGAGGGTAACTTCACTGAAGAGGTTACTCAGCCTCTTTCTTGATTGTTGCCTGCAACCCTCCTATCCACACACACAAAACCCTCATGAGTTTAGTGGTACTTTCAATCTGGGCTGGCTGGCACATCTGAGGCTGCAGGCTAAAACCAGAGTGACGCTTTCCCTCAGACTGATAACCTACACACTTTCCAGTAAGGACACAGGCTAAATCACTTGATGCCGATAGTCCTCCACTGCCTTCCCACAATTCCCCAGGTACCTAAAACAACCAACAAGTTCTCCCACAACTCACTGGCAAAGATCAGAGCAGCTCAGTTTATTGCAACTGAAAGAACCATGGGACATGGTCTTAGCAATACACAATGCCGAGTGCAGAACCAGTGAGGATACAGTAACTCAAGTAGGACTTTGTTCTGTGGCTGCTCACACCAGAAGTAAGCTAACCAGGGTGCTCAGCCTCAGGTTTTGATTACCTGAGTTAACAAGGCTACAGTGAAAACACACCCACACACAACTTGTACCTTCAATCCATAGCCAACCTCCTATTGATAATGGGAAGTTGGTACAAAGATTGAGGATAAAATATGGCCCTTGTGTAGTCCAGTTTGCAGAGGTATTGAGCACCAACAGCTCCCACTCACTACAGTTGGGCCTATCAGTGTGTACTACTTCTGAAACTCATACCATAAACGTTTATTTAGAAAAGTTAGCATTGCATTTTCCACTGTGGTGAAAAACTGATGTGACGTACTTGTAGGACCACTACTATTTCAGCTCTTTGCAAGCCAAGCTGTCATCTGATTTGTGCATCTGATTGTGATATCATGCGATGAAACCTCCAGGAATACATCCAATCAAAACTGGCAACCCTATGGCAAAACTGCTGTTTGTACTGACATAGGAAAACCGCTCCCCATAAATTAAACAAGCTATCCTGATATAAATGCAATTTTGCTAGTATAGCTGTATCTACACTAGAAACTTCTGCCAGTACAGACACACTGGTTAGGGGATCACACATTTTCACACTCTTGGGCAACACTGCTATTCTGGCAGAAGTCTGTATCTTGTATGTCGCTACAAGAGCTACAATGGCACACCTGCAGTGCTACAACTATGCTGCTGTAGCACTTGTACCATAGACACTTAAGCCTATGTTACACCTAAAACTCAGGTCAACCTAGCTACATCACCCAAGGCTGTGAAAAATTTCACACCCTGTATGAAGTAGTTAGGTTATCCTAACCCCTTCCATCAACCTAGCTACTGCCTCTCAGGTCTACATTAAACCTTTACTACAGTGACAGAAGGATTTTCTCTCATTGCCATAGTAAATCTACCCCCCCCCCCCCCGAGAGGTGGTAGCTAGGTTAGCAGTGACCCAACTGCATCTATAGCATGGGTTACCTTGACCTAACTACTTCACACAGGTGTGTGAAATTTCTCACAGCCCAGAGCAATGTGACTATGTCGACCTAAGTTTCAAGTCAAGACCAGGCCTTACACAGCCTTTTTATCTGAAAGTTTGAAGCCTTAACAAACAGTAAGCTCCAAAGTTAGCAACTCAATGAGATGGACGGAGTAGTTCAGCCCTTTCAACTGTTGTTCTAGAGCAGTGGTTCCCAAAACTTTAACAGCCCGCAAACCCCTTTCTCTAAATTGTGAAATCTCGTGAACCCCCTCCTAAAAATTAGTATTTCCAGGGTTTCAAATTTAAATTTCCTCAGTGTGATGGATGCGCTTGCTTTGATCTGCATAGCTCTTTGAAGTCCGGAACCTTTGGAGAAAGATAAAGTCATAGTCATATTTTCTTTTCTTTGTAAGTGACTTTCCAGGACCATCATGATCATTAGACGTAGATTTTCCACAGTGTGGACTTGAGGAAACACTAGCTGATTCTTGCGTCTTTACACTTTCCTTTTTCAGCCACTTATCCATTGAACTTGTGTACAAAAGTTCTAATAAAAACACCGAGAGACTGCTAACAACCAACAAACTAGAAAATGAGAAGCTTCACTCAAATCTCACTGAAGCAAAACAGCACTCCAGAGAGAATGACAATTACAGAGGCACCTTAACACTGCTACACTGGCTACAACGCGCTTCTGGCTGGTTTGGCTTCCAAACAGCTTTCCTTCCGCCACAAGGTTCTCTCCCTAGGAGAGTGTCCTGCGAGGGACAAATTAGCTTGGACCACCCCCCACATACAGCACTGCTCCTGCTCACTCTGCCCTCCATGCCAACTTCCCCTGTCTGACAAGGACAGGAGTCCGAGCTGCCACCTGCAGGTCTGGGGGTCTCAGCTGCCACCCTGCCCACCACAGGGCTCAGGCTACTGGCCCCACGCCAGAGCCTGGGCTGCCGGATCCATACTCCCTGGGGCTCCTGCTGCTGGACCCCATTGACCACCCCGGTCAACTGAGCTTGAGCTGCAGGTCCCGCTGACCGCTGGGGCTCAGGCTGCTGGCCCCAACTGCCCGGCCCCACTCTCCCTGAGGCTTGGGGCTGCCAGCCCCGCCGGAGCACTGGGGTTTGGGCTGCCGGCTCCAACTGCCCGGCCCCGCTCTCCCTGGGGTCAGGGCTGCCAGCCCCCCCCGGAGCGCTGGGGTTCGGGCTGCCAGCTCCCCACTGACGGGGGGCAGGGCTCGACCTTCCGGCCCCAACTGCCCGGCCCCGCTCTCCCTGGGACTCGGGCTGCCAGCCCCACCGGAGCGCTGGGGTTCGGGCTGCTGGCTGCCCCACTGACGGGGGTCAGGGCTCTAGCTGCCAGCCCCAACTGCCCGGCCCCGCTCTCCCTGGGACTCAGGCTGCCGGCTCCCCCGCTGACAGGGACAGGGCTCGGGCTGCTGGCCCCAACTGCACAGCTCTGCTCTCCCGGGGGCTCTAGTTATCTGTCCTGCAACCGGGTCGCACCTGCTGCCTCCAATGCTGGGGTCCTCTGGCCGCCATTAATGAATTTTTTCTTGCGAACCCCCTTTAACGTTCTGCGAACCCCAGTTTGGGAACCACTGTTCTAGAGTGTTTGCAGAATGACACTTTAAACCTTGTGCTGTAAGCCTTTCCGGTCCCAGAAACCTTGTTATTTTCTCTTTTCTTCTTAAAACCTACTTATTCCCTGTTCAGTACTTTTAAATAAGTGAAGTGATATCAAAGATTGAATAAAATCATGTCTAACACAACCCTCTCAGTTTTGTTGGGAGTCTCCCAGAAGCGGGTTCTATCTCCCTGAGGCTACTGAAGTCAAACTGGGAGCCTCCAGAGGTAAGCACTGCCTGGCCGGAGCCTGCACCCATCATTCTCTGCCTCAGCCCTGAGCCCCCTCCCAGAGCCAGCACCCCAAACCCTCTTCCACACCCCAATCCCTTGCCCCAGGCCTGATCCCTCTCCTAAACCCAAACTTCTTCCCAGAGTCTGCACCCCGCACCTCCTCCTCCACCCCAACCCCCTAGCCCAGTCCTAAGCCCCTTCCAGCAGGCAAACTCCCTCCCAGAGCTTGCACCCTGCACCCACTCCTGCACCTTAACCCTCTGCCCCAAGCTCAACCCTGATTAGACAGTTGGCAACCCCACTCCAGGATAAGAAGACTTGTATTAAAAAACAGAAACAAAAACACACCAAGTAATTTTTCATGTTGCTTACCTTTCAATGTTTCCATCCATAGTATCTTGTACTTTAGTGGACAGTTCAGTATTTGTTTTCTCCCCCATTTGCTCCTGTTTTTCTAAGCCCACACTGTTCCCATTGTACTTCTCCATATTTATTCTGGTTGGGTGTGGAGGAGACTGCTCAGAACTTGGTGCTTGGTCCTCCTTAGAAAGTTCCTTCCACCGTTTCTAAGAGAGTGAGAAAACAAATTTTTGAATAAAGAAGTCTTCCACAGAATGATCATATAAATAAAAATGTAAATTAAAATTTGTATAAAAACTAATTTCTAGATAACAAAGATGTAAGCCACACAGTGATACCTTTATTTACACTGAATAGAGAACAAGTACACCCATCAGTCTTAGCTTCAGTTAACACTAAAACCAAGACTAATTTGAGGGAAATGCGGTTGTTAGAAAACTAGAAGGTCAAGTATACAGCATACAAATCTGTCCAGGATTAACAAAAATCTGCAAGTGAAAGTTATGGCTGTAAACTCATGGCAATGAAAAAGGTAAGGCTCTTGGGCATGACAGAATACTTGCAGAGATCTAGAAAAGTGGATCTGATTAAACAGATAACCATTGCCTTCTCTGTAATACCTAAGAGCAAGAAACAATACTACAACAATTAAAAAATGCTAAATCATTATTCAAATATTAAAAGTGACAGTGGTGTAACTAGGTTTTTTACTGTTTGCAAGAGACAAAATATTGACAAGAGTTCTTCACAAGAGATATCAGATGTGAAAAGTGTTTTTTGATTAAACAGTCTCTGATATGAACTTTGCTGCTCTACAACTCCATGTAAATCCAAAACTTTTTGTTATCAGCCACCTTCGTCATAAACCTGTGGAAAATCCAGAGAACTGGATAAAATGTCCAAGATGACCTGACAACTAGAAGAAAGTACAGCTGTACACGTCCATATGAATACACAGTCCCTTTGGAATTTCCAATAGTTTTATACAAGGATATTATTTTTTGGAATTCCTTGTAGCAATGTTTAATGAACTGGTATGCCTTACTCCTGGGACTACAGATTAGATTTCCCTCAGGAAAACGAGAGAGAGAGAGAGAGAGTGTCTCTCTCTCTCTCTGAAGTAGGAGTCCATCTTAGAAAACTACATATTGCAATCAGCATTCATCGTCCCCTCAGAGGAAATCCTGCAGAGTATGAAGTGATTAGAAAATTAACTGTGTATTGGTAATGTTGCTATGGATTGTTGCCTAATGAGCTCAAAAGTGGATACTAAATGACTCCAGGAAAGCTAAGATTCCATTTAAACAAGTGTTTACCTAGCTACCTGTGTTTTATTTGCAGAGATAGAGCTCAAAATGCTAACAGTTTGCCTGGGAGTCTTGTCATTGGAAAAAGGAGAATTTATCCACCAAGAGTGAAGTTATTATTCAGGCAAACTTTTACTAAATTGAGATACATAAGTGACAGTCACCAGTTAGAAACTTATATTAAAACAATTTCCCCCTCCTTCCCAAAAACCACAGCTTGAGAACACTGTGGATGTCAAAAATGGAGTTTATTGGATTCGATGGTGGAAATGCTTCCCTGCTCCACTGCCCCACTCCCTGAAAAGGTCAGCTGCTAGCCCCACTTCTAAAGCCTCAAAACGTGCTCACATCCTGTGGACCTGACGTGATATGCAGGTGGTGAGCTGGCACAGTGCTTAAATATTTAAAGAAAATACAGTTACAGGTGATAGTATAGTCTTATATAAACATTACAAGACAGGGACAAGGAAGGTGCCAGCAGATTAAAGGGGGAAAGCATTTTATTAAGTAAAGTTCACCAAACCACATCATGCATCTTCAGCAGGGTTTGAAACCTGAACCTTCAGCATTGCAGCACAGACTGCTACCACTTAAGCTACAGGACTAACTACATTAGCAGGAAGCAGCTAACACCATGTGCTGAATCCAGGAGATGGTCATGGGGAGTATGGCACCCAGGTTCTTCAACCCACATCCCCAAAAGACCCTGCCCCGCATGGAGCCCGTAGGGGATTGGAGAGGAGATGGGATAATAATAATAATAATAAATGGAGATATCCCATCTCCTAGAACTGGAAGGGACCCTGAAAGGTCATTGAGTCCAGCCCCCTGCCTTCACTAGCAGGACCAAGTACTGATTTTTGCCCCAGATCCCTAAGCGGCCCCCTCAACGATTGAACTCACAACCCTAGGTTTAAGCAGGCCAATGCTCAAACCACTGAGCTATCCCTCCCCTCCCCTTTCACAAGGCTCTGACATTTGAGCCCCTGGTTTAATGAGGTTCTTACAA